TAATATTCCTAATTTCCCTTTTTATGTCTAAAATGAAGGTGTTATTATTAGTAACTTGGAAATATGCGTACACTGAAACAGAAAAACAAAGAGCCTCCTAGAGTCTAATTGTCCCAAATGTCATGTCAAGAGCACAGTACATGTCTTCTGACTTGTATGCTGGGGCCCTGTACCCTTGACCAGCATGTGTCTATAGGTAGTGTAGATTAAGGTCATGTTATGGGTTACAAGTTAACCCCATGTGAAATTGGTTCATGTCAAAGGAGTAACTTAAATTACCTGAAAACTTCCTCAGGTAAATTGTCTATTCTGTAGTGTATCTGTGTGATTTTTATGCTATGTAGAGTCTTTGTTGACTTAAAGGATTTTGTCTTTAAAAGGTTTTTACCTTACAATATTATAAGCCCTTATAATGTGTGACAGAATGGTGGGAAAGTTAGAATTAACTGCTCAAGGAGAGGATATCCATGACACTTTTTGAGAAATAGCTGCAAGCCTTAAAAACATGGGAATAATGTATTAATCTACATTATTTTAAAATCAGTAGAATGTAAGATATTGAATTAAATGAAATGAATAGAACAATGAAGGAATAGGTTGAATGAATAAATAGATGATGTATTAGTCTGTTTCTGTTGCTTATATCAAAATACACAGAACTGTATGATTTGTAAGAAAACAAAAGTTACTGCTTACAGTTTTAGAGGCTGGGAAGTCCAAGGTCCAGGAAACACATCTGGTGAGGGTCTTCTTTGGTGATGGCTTTGCAGCAATGCAGGGGTCTCACATGGCAGAAAATGGCGGAGCAGAGAAACTCTCATGTGCTCTCTTTTTAACGCCCTCAGAACCACACCCCTGACCACCAGTATTAATCCATTCATTACAGCATGGTCCTACAACCTGATCACCTCTTCAAAGCCCCACCTTTCAATTATCACAATAGGATTTCCCACCCTCTTAACACTGTCATAGTGGGGGCCAAGTTTCCAATATCTGGAACTTCGGGGGACACAATTTAAGCTTCAGTGAGTTTGAGGGGGACATTCAATCAGTAGATGGTTAAATGTATATTCTACAGTTTAAGCCAAGTTATTTCATAGACTTGGATAAAAATCTATATAGTAAGCTTTACCACATTTGTAGGGTGCATTAGTAGAAACAGAGTCTGCGCCCACAAGACTGAATTTGGGGTTCGGATGTTCAGTGTTCATTGTCTTTTGGTTAATAAGGTCAACCAAGCTTGCTAAGGGCCTGGAAACATGAGTGTGTTTGGCTCAGGGAAGTACAGGCTAAAGAGAAATATAATAGCTGCCTTATAAACATGCCTTTAAATGTTTTCAACATGCCTTTAAATGTATTAACTGTTCAACAAAACAAGACTTTTTATGAGTTGTTTCAAAAGCCAAAATCAGTAAGATGGAATTAAAAGGAGGCATATTTACAACAAGTACAAGAAAGCCTTTTCTGTGGAATAGAGTTCCCCAATCCTGTAATGAAATGTCTTCAGACGTCCTGAGCTTCCTGCCCATTGAGGTGATCCAAAAAATACTTAGTCACTATTGGCCAGGGATGCTATAGGGTATTTCTATTCTGTGCACTGTGTAAGGTTAGATGACCCTGTAGGTGCATTTCAGTGCTATGATGCTATTGTTGTACTCTGTCCCTTGGAACAGAGGCTGTGCATAAGAAGAAAGAAATGACATCTCTGCCTGTTACACAAGGTGCCTATAGACACTTAGTTTCCTGAAGTGCCCCCTGTGATTAGGTATATCTGTTTAGCTTTCATTATTCTAATTCTGCACGGCTAGTTTGTTGAATGTCAGATGCTCCTCATTTCTCTGGATGTCAAATGGTAGAGAATATATGTACATTTGTTGTCTTGGTATGGTGTGTTTGTCTGTATTTGTTTGCCATTTATGGATCTCTAAAGATAGAAGACCTACTCTCTCTTAGAGTGTTTTATGGTGTTATTTTTTCCTGATATATTTGGAATAAGTTATTGGAGAAGACATTTGGTCCTGAGGTTTTCTTTGTATGTAGTGTTTTAATTATGGATTAAGTTTGTGTAATAGCTATAGTATTATTCAAATTTTCCATTACTAATTTATGTGTTTTGATAATTTGTATTACTTTAGAAAGTATTCATTTCATCCAGAATTTGAAATGTATTCATGTGAAGTTTTTTCTTCACATACTACTCCTATAGCTTTTTTTTTTTTTTGGTGGCTGGCCTGTACAGGGATCCGAACCTGTGACCTTGGTATTATAAGGCTCCACTCTCTGACCCACTGAGATAACCCACGACCTCTTTCTTAATATACTCTCATTATCTTTTAATGTCTTTTTTTTTTTTTGGTGGCTGGCCTGTACAGGGATCCGAACCTGTGACCTTGGTATTATAAGGCTCCACTTTCTGACCCACTGAGATAACCCACGACCTCTTTCTTAATATACTCTCATTATCTTTTAATGTCTCTAGTTTATGTAGTAACCCCTGCCTCCTTTTAGTTATGATTTTGGTTGTGTGTACCATATTCTTTTTTCTTGATTAGGCTTGCCAGCGGTTTATCAATTTTATTTTAAAGAATCAATTTTTGGCTTTGTTAAAAATATTCATTTTCTATTTCAGTAGTTTCTGTTCTTTGTTTCTTTTTTCCCCAACCTTCTTTTTGTTCAGTTTGTTGCTGTTTTCTGATTTATTCAGATGCATTCTTAGATCATTGATGTCAGTCTTCTTTTCTAATATATGAACTTCAGGCTATAAATTTCTGTTAGTTTACGTTCTGACTTTAACTGTACCCTTCAATTTTGTGTCATATTATTCAGTTAAATTGAAAAAGAAATTTGTTCTGATTTCTATTTTGACCCATAGGTTATTTAGAAATGTATTGTTTAATACCTAAATATTTGTAATTTTTTTCTTTTTAATTCTATCAATTGCTGTGTAGAGGGTGTTAAAATCTTCTACTATGATTGTGGAATGGATTTTTTCCTTTTATGTCTGGCAATTTTCTAACTGTATTTTCACATTTACAGTGGTTTCTTTTAGGTAGCATATAGTTAGGTTTTGCTTTTTTTATACATTCTGATATTTCTGCTTCTTAATTGGAGTGTTTATTGTGTTAAAATCTAATATAGTTACTGATATGGTTGAAATTAGGATAGCATATAGTTAGGTTTTGCTTTTTTTATACATTCTGATATTTCTGCCTCTTAATTGGAGTGTTTATTGTGTTAAAATCTAATATAGTTACTGATATGGTTGAAATTAGGTCTACCTACCTTTGTCTCATCGGGAATTTTTTGTTCCTCTCTTTCCTTGTCTTCTTTTGGGTTGTTTGAATATTTTTTAGAATATCATTTTAATTTATCCATTGGCTTTTTACCAACACATTTTTGCATTTTTAAGTGATTGCTCTAGGAATTATAATATGCATCTTTAATTTTTCACAGTGTACTTAGAATTACCATAGTACCACTTCACAAAAAGTACAAAAACCTAGGCACCAAATAGGTCCTCTCCTTGGCCTGGGCATCAGTCTCCTACTTATGCTCCATGTCATACCCTTAGTGAAAACTGCCATGAGAGTCCCCCAGACAGCATTAGGATCTCCTCCTATTTTGTTTTGAAATTACTGATTTACATTGTATATTAAGTATTTATTTACATCTCTCTTCTTGTCAGGCTATGATCTCCCAAGATCAAGGACCCAGTTTTACTCATTTTTGTGAACTTGGAGCCCAGAGGTCATGATAGACTTTCAAGTAAAAACATTTCATGTGAATGAAGAAAGGGTTCATTTGTTATTTATGAGATAAGAGGCATTTTATAAACTTCTTTTAACTGGTCAAGTACCAATGACTTACAGATAAAACCAAGATACTTTTAGTGATGCATAATAAATCATGTATCTAAGAAAAGCATTCAAAACTTACAAAATGGGAAATAAAGAACTAAGTAATAATTTTAATATAATGTAATAAATTAAATTAATTTGATTTCAATTAACAATTTTATGTGTGCCAGATACTTTGCTTAATAAGCACTTTGT